CATTACCTCTGCATTCCCTCCACCATCCCTTTGCAGGCAGTTGGTCCAGCTCTGATGCTGACCTGTCTCAGGCTTTCCTTCCTTTCCAAGCCTCCCCATCTCCAGCCATCCCTCTATACTGCCCTGTCAGCATTGGCATCCTTGGAGCTGAAGGGTTCGAGGTGGGTCCTCAGGTATCCTTCCTTCTCTCCAGAGAGCCAGAGCTTCCCACCAGTGCCAGTCCCTTGGCACAGAAGCTGACTGCCATGCTGTCGTGCCACCCTCTGCAACGATCATGTGGGCATCCCCGTGGTGGGAATAGACTCAATGACTCCTGGATCCCTTAGAGGTCAAGATTTGGGACTCACCAATGATCCCAAGATCTTGAGTTGAAAGTATCAGGATGCTGCTATGATACTGCATGCAAGAGGAAGAAGCAATGAAGTCCGGCCATGGAGGGATGCTCATCTTCCAGCATTCAGATTTCTCCCAGCTCAGCCCATCTCTGATTAAACTGAGGTCCAACTCCAGCCCCAGAGGCTCTTTATCTCCAGCCAGGAGGAGACCGTGGAGAAGAATCCTGCAGTGAGCAGCACTTTGGGAGTTTGTGATAGATGCCATCTACCTCATTACTGAACAATGAAACTTTATTGTTCCCTCTGTTCTATTGATTTTTATGTCTCCAAAGCGCGCTGAAATGAGTATCTGTCAGAGGGGGACCGCTTTGCTGATCTGCATCTTTGAAGTGGATATCCATGGATCAAGCCCTGTGGCTGCTGTGTTGAGGGGAGGGGAGGGTTTCCCCACTGCCTCCTCAGGGGGCTGCAGGGGCTGTGGCTCTGGTGGGGGTTTATCCTTCCAGTGCACCTGAGAGAAGGATGTACCTACCTACAGGTGCGGTGGGGAATACTGCACCATAGCATCTTTGCTGGAAAAAAGCAGCATTTAGGCCAATATCCATGAAATTAGGCATGAATCTTCCCAAATTAGCTTGGTTTAGAGATTGAGGCTCCATCAATGGAGACTTCAGCGTAAACCCTGGCTTGTAGCAGTGCTGCACTTTTCAGCCCCTCTCCATGAGTGCTGGGAGGGGACTCCACATCTCCATGAGTCTCCCTCAGATGCTCATGTCCTCAGTGTGCAGCCACCCTGCCTGCAACCTAGATTAAATACATGTCTTACATGTTTCAAGTTTGTATACAGCCCTCAAGCGGGGAAGCATTTGCCCTGCAGCCTACACATATATATATGGGAACTTCACAATTAGTTAATATTTTATGCATAATTCATTAAATTATACTACATTTTCTGGGAATAATTAGCTGACTCAGTACCTCTAATGAACTGCAGGTTCTGCTATGACAAACACATTGGGTGACCCCATGGGACAGCAACATGCAGGCGCCTTTAAGCAAAGTTCAAGCAGCTCCTAAATTAACCAAAGCAAATCCCCAAAGATGCAGTGTTTATGCACTGAAGCAAGAAGGGAGGGCTCTCATCTCACTGGTCTTGTCAGCCACTAGAGCCCAAGCAGCAAGAGAGAGAAAGTAAGAGCTATTTACCTTGTGCTAATAGGGAGCTGGGCAGCTCAGGTGAGACTTGACTCCTTTTCCTTTATTTGAGTTATTGCATGGAGCTGGCATGGAAGTGATCCCCAGCGTGGAAACACCCAGATGAAAATGGATATAATTAGCAGCAAGATTTTCAGGCTTAAATCACCATCTCTTCTTAAAATTCTGGTCTGAATTGAAGGAAAATCTGTTTGAGCTGTTCTGGTTTTGGAACTAGATGAGCTTTACGGGCCCTTCCAATCCAAATCATTCTATGAGCCTATGATTCTACGACAGCCTTTTCATTTTGTCTCTCATTTTTGGGTCAAATGAGTGATACAAAACCTGGAGCAAAGCCAGCACCCCAAGGGTGTTTTCAGCACCCAGTTGCTGCCTGCTCCCAGGCAGGGCCCCTTGCTCTGTTGGCATTCACTTACGGCATTAAATGCAAAGCAGTGATCCCAAGGCAGGAGATCATCTCCTACCCTGCTCAGCCTGGCTGCTCCATCCGCCCTGCATCAGTGCTACAACCATGTGCCTGGATGCTGGATGCTGGATGCTGGCAGCATCTCCAGGGCACACAGTTTTCTCAGCTCATGCTTCCTGCTCCTGGATGTGGGCAGAAACAAGCAACTCACTGAAGATGACCTCAGGAAAGTGGAGATCTAACACACTGCTGCCAGTAGTCTGAACTATTCTGTTTTCCCTAGACAGAATGCTCCCTAACTGAGGGGGCAGAGTGAGCCCGTCCTGCAGCAGGCATGTGTCCACCACCAGTAATGGACTTTAAGTGGAGGGCTGCAAACTGGTAAGTATAAGGATGCTGGGGAGGGACTCTTCATTAGGGACTGTAGTGACAGGACAAGGGGTAATGGGTTCAAACTTAAACAGGGGGAGTTTAGATTGGATATAAGGAAGTTCTTTACTGTGAGGGTGGTGAGGCACTGGAATGGGTTGCCCAGGGAGGTTGTGAATGCTCCATCCCTGGTGGTGTTCAAGGCCAGGTTGGACAGAGCCTTGGGTGCCATGGTTTAGTGTGAGGTGTCCCTGCTGGATGATCTTAAGGTCCTTTCCAACCCAAACTATTCTATGATTCTAAGTATATGAACTGCATGTGCCTCTTTGACTCTTAGAAACATTAGATTTTCAACTCTGACATAGGTACAAAGGAATACAAGGAGTAAAGCTCCACATGTTGGGGGAGAGCATGTTAAGGCAGACAATGATGACACCTGCCTGGTTGAGTTTAGGCTGACAAAATTCAGCAGAGAGACCTCTGGAAGGAGGGAAAAGGATGCTCAGGAGAAGCAGCACTGGCAGGGCCTTCCTCAGAAGCATACCTCATTTCTTTTAATTAGGTTATAACTCAATTACGAATGCAAGGCTCTTCATTCCTGACAAGTTTTCCATAATCTTAATGTGATCTCATGTCAGAAGGGTACCTTCCTCTGATAACCAAGCCCAGCTAGGAGTTTAAGTAGAATAATAGCTGATTAAAAGGGGTTAATAGATACACCTCAAACAGAAGTAAATTAATGGGAGACGTTGTCTGTTGGCTAATGGGATCAGAACCGTATTTGTTTAGTTTATGAATGATTAATCTCCCTCTCTTGGCATTCCTCAGATGCTAATTGCACTTAGGGAGCCCGTGTTTGTTTTTACAAGAGCTGGAGGTGGCAGAGGGAAGGCAATGGCTGGCCCAAAGGGGAGCTCCTTCACCCTGTGTAATGGGCTCTTGGCACAGCCAGGGGGAATACCAGTAAACCCACACTAAACCAGAGCTGACCCCAAACGTGGGAAACTCCTCAGTTACAGATATTAGTAAAGTCATTTGGGGTATCTGCAAAGCGCACAAATGCAGCCGGTGCTGAGGCTCATCCCACCCTCCTGCACCGGGAATTTCACACCACAATACTTGGATTTTTCCCCATAGAAATACTCCAGGTTGAACACAGGAAAGCTAAAAGTGCCAAAGGAGGGAACCCACTTCTCATGGCAACTTCTGCATCTGACAATTCGGAGAAGGAGAGCAGGAGCATTTGTCAGAAGTGCTGGGAGGGAAGCAGTAATTGCCTGGAAGCAGCCACAGATGCGGGGCTCATTCCAGCTGCTGCTGCATCGCTAAGAGGTAACCAAATCATTTTCCTCTCTGCATACTTGTCAGCTCCATTATCTTTGTACCTAACAACACAAATGTGCTATCTCAGCCATACTGTGAATTTACTAGCAAACAAACCATTTTAAAAAACAATAAAAAACCCAAAACAAAACAAAAAGAAAGGGGTTTTCATCTCATGCTTAGCAAGCATAAGGCATTTTCTAAACAAAGCCCTGCCAAGCGGGGTCCCCAAGTCATTGAGGTACCAAAGCACGTGCCACCCAAGTCAGCTGGCATCACCCAGCCCAAATTTGCAGCATGTTTGCAAAGGGCTTATTGAATTTGGAGCCATAAGGAGCAGTTTTAGAAGGCAGGTACCCATCCTGAGCGCAGCATCCCTGCAGTGATACTTAATTGATCTTTGGAAGTCACTTCCAGAGATCAAGATCTGGGCTCACCAAACTGCTGAGCTGTGATAAAGGCCAGCTCTTGGCTCAGTTTAGTTTGAAATGTCCCAGGTGATGGTGGGCTTTGACTTTATGGATTATTAGGACTCATTGATGACACAGTTGGTGCAGTGGTGAGCAAGACTGGGGTGTTCATCCATTCCTTGACTTTACCAAGGGATGGATGTCTGAAAGACAATGAGGAACACTGGGAAGACCAAGCCAACACCACTTCTACATAAGACCTTTTTTTAAACTTTGGGATGAATTGGAATGGTCTGAGGGAAATCTCATTTTAATCATAAAACCCTGCTGTTACCAAAATTGCACGCTAAGAGAGGGGATGCTCTTTTACTATTCTCCATAAATAACATTACTTTGTACTGTTCCCAGGTATTTCATTCATCACTGTATCATACAGAAAACCTGAGCTGAATAAAACCTTCTGAAAGAAGATGAGGAGACCCATTCTGCCCTATAGATTGTTTTGTATTTACTGAAGCCGTTCTTTTTCTCTGCCTGCTTTCCACAAACAGGGACAATAAACCATGTATGAGGAGGGGTGAACTTCTGCTTTTTGCCAAGCAGCATCAGAATAAATTCCCTATTAAGGGAGTCACCTAGAAATACAGGGTTTAATAAATTGATGGATTATTGGCTTTCCAGCTGGATGGTGCAAGCAGCGCTCTCCAAGACTGGGGGGAAGCTCTGGCAAGGCAGGTTTTGGCTGAGGTCTGATGGGCAAAAGGGGGGTGAAAACCTGTGAGAGCCTTTTTAAAGCCTGGGTGAGGTGTTCAGGTGTAGCTTGTTGCTGGAATATGGGAGGAGCTGGGGAGTGGAGAAGCACCAGAGCATTTATTAAGCACCCTCATCTACCACCTTCCTGAGCCATTTGATGCCCCAAGCTATGAGTGTTTGTTGTCCAAACCAAACTCCAGATGAGGTCTCCTGAGAGCTTATGGCCAGATTGCTGGCCCCAGTGCTTATAAACCCAATGAGACGGTTATGAGCATGAGGGATGTACAGATGTGGCATCCAGCAAACTCACCTTGCACCTGCAAGGACTATGGCCTGCCTCTGCCCTGCTAAATGAAGTGGATCTTGTGCCTGAATCTATAAGAGGTATGAGCACATATGGGTACAGGTATGGGGTGGTTGTGCAAAAGCAATAAAGACTCTGCTAAACCCTTCTTTAAAAGCTGTTAAACTCACCCAAAGGTAGCACTGGAAGAGGGGGTTAGATGTAGTGACAGGTCTTGTGTGCAGTGATTGAGCTTTGGGACCCTGTGGATAGTGGCCAGGGGGAAGCCTGTGGTGATGGGTGTTCCTTGTATGGGACTGGGTGAGTAAGTGGTGCCCCTCTAGCCCTCTCCCCCACGCCAAAGACCCAAACCTGCCTTTGTACAGCAAGAGCAGCCTCCAGGCAGCGGTTTGAAAACACTCTGGCTTTTGCAGGCGCTTACAGCTGCAGGTAGATGCCTTGTGAGGCTGTCAGAAGTGCCTAAGCATGTAAAGCACCTCATTCCCAGTGCAAATGCCACCAGGTGTCTGCCCGCATCATTAGGCACCTAATTGCCTCTGAAACCTAGCTCCTGGGAGCAGGGCGGCTGCTGCCTGTGGCACCTCAGCAAGGCAGCACAGCTCCCACAGGATAAAGCCCTCACCCTCATTCCTGTGTCCTGCAGGCTTCCCCCTGCCTCAGTTTCCTCATGCAGCAGGTAATTATTCACACACCTTCAAGAAGTCCTTTGAGATCTGCTGATGAGCTGTGCTGGAGAGAAAGGTGGTACCAAAGGGCTGATTATTGCAGTTGATGCTAAAAATACCCCTTTACCTAAAGCACAGCATGGCACCGACTCCAAAGAACTGGGAGCAGGGTTAAAAACGCATCCCAGCAGATAATGGCAGGAGCTGCCCTTTGTGTATCCATGTTTCTCACTTGTCCTTGCACCAAGGGGCTAAAAGGCGACAAAGTTTTTGCTTCTCATGCAGTGACGAATGGCCTGGCCAGGTAACAAATTCCAGGCTGGAATATGCCTCCTCAGCAGCCCAATGTGTGATTGCAGTGGGCTTTGCATTAATTTGTGAAATGTCGTGTTTAAATTGGTTTTACAGTTCACTGGGAGCGTGAGGCTGCAGCCTCAATAGCAAGTGATGCTCTCGCACAGCCAGAGGAAATCATACTGGAAATTGTTGCTGACCCCTCATGACTGGACCTGGCAGCAGGGAGCAGGGACTAACCCAGGTGTAAGTTACTAAATGCACACATACTGTGAGCAAAGAGCATCCTTTTCGCTTAGATGACTTAGCACCATCCATGAAAAACTTAATTAGCCAATCAAAGAGATGACCCAAATGGCACAAACTCCACAATACACTTAAGCACAAACCTGGGAGACTCCAGTTAACTCCTGCCCTGTCTGAAGGAAAGGTCCTTTCCCGTCTGTGCAGGTCCATGTTTGCTCTGGTTAAATGTTAATGCAGGTTTAGCAGAAGCCTGTGTTGCCTTTGTGTGCCATCACCATTCCTGGACTGAGGGGTGAGTTGGTCCCTGCTGCATTCTGCTACTGAATCCCATCAGGTTAAAGTGTGGTTGCACATCAGATGTGTCTGCAAAACCCAGCAGCTTCCTATCCCACAGAGTTGCATGTTCACCCTCAAATCTGCTGACTTTAGGGATAAAATATGTCTCTTATTACATTTTGCCCCTTTTAACACAGCAAACACAGCAGTGATTTCAGGGTAGGAGCTGGTTCCCTTCCCATCGCAATGTCCCACCAGTGGGATGAGCTATGGCTCTTCTTCACCCCCAAAGCCCAGGGTGAGCTTGCTGAGCTGCCAGCCTGAAAGCAAGCAAGCAAAGTAAAAAGCAAAGAGAAAGAAACGAAACCCCTTCATTTCTGTCATGGCTTTTTTTTTCACCCTGGAAAATGATCTAGAGCCAATAAACCCAGAATCCCACAAGGGCAGTAATGGCAAGTCACTTTTCCGAGTGTAATCACACTTGGAGAGACAAATATCTGCAGCGTGTCTGCATGGGCAGGATTCATACCTGAGAGCTGCCAGCCTCCTCCAGCCCCTTCAAACCATCCAAAGGCTTTGAGAGACCTTGGCACGAACCTGCTGGTTCCCCCTTGGTTGGGTTTTATTGAAGTCTTTCTCTCAAGCAGCCCCTGCTCTCAGGAATCATTTGCTCTTTATTCTAATACGTCTCTTCACAGGCAGGAGGCTGCGCTGAGCTCCACACAATGTGTCCATCATCTTAGTCCAGGCATTTTAATTGACACTGCAGTAAAAAATCTGGCACCCAACATTTTCTCCTTCGAGCCACAATGGAGAGGCTGTGCCAACAGTTCGACCGTGCTCGTTTCCCTCTTCCAGTTGGGGGGTGCATGTGTGGAAGAAGGGCATAGGAAAGAAACACACCACCCCCCCCCAGTTTTGGATGTCAGTTTGTCACTACATCAGCCCAGGATCCATTGCTGGCATGGCTCTCCTGAATGCGTGTCTGTCTGTCTGTCCAGTGGAGCTTTGCAGCACACAGGAATAGAGATGACATCTATCCTGAAGCTTTGACTGCTTCCCTCTAGGACTAGTAGTAAATATGGGTTGCTTTGCTTGAGGAGGTTGCTCCGGTACAAAGGGGCTTCCCTTGGGTAGACTTTGGAACTGGGTTGGGGAAACCTCAGCTCCCTCAAGGGATGGGGTCCCCCTGGACTTGTCCCCTGCCTCTCCCCTGCACCTCTGAGTGAGCTGTGGGTTGGTGCAGCCCCGCGCTGAGCTCCAGGAGCCAAGCAGCCGAGGGGACTCCTCTGCTGCTGCAATGCAGGGCTGAGTGCAGGTTGCAGAAAACGAAGGACACACAGGCACTGCAGAACCAGGGCCGGAGGCTGGAGGGGAGGATCAGAGCCCAGCATGACACCGCTTTCACTTATCCCATCTTGTGTCCCTTGGGCTGTGCCCATTTCAAGTCAATGCCATCCATAAACGGGCAGCCAGCAAAAGGGCATTTCGGGCACCAGTGCATTAAGGAGGTGAAGTGGCACAAATGCAACCAGGAAAAGGCAGGACTGACTTGCACTGTGCTATATTGCTTACCTAATGCTTTGGCAAGAATCTGGAGCCAATTCATCACTGTTTATCCCCCAAACCAGCTATTGCTTTTGCCAAAGAATGGGGAGAGTCACCTCTCCTCCCTCCTGGGGCCATTCGTGCTTTGCTTTTCAGGGAGGTAGCACTAATTCAGCTGGGCAGAGGCAAAATGCACCGATAGGAACACACTGATCCAAAACTCTTCTAAAAACTCCAGAAAAGAGCAAACAAAGGAGTAAAGGCAGTTTTCTTTCTGTCTGGTCTTGCTTATTTATCACTCCTGCTGTTTTCAATATAGACCAAGGAGAGGGCAAAAACGAAACAAAAAGCCATTGTAAGTGGGGAGGTAGCAGCCTTTCCGTTTCTTTTGTGCACGTAAATTGCTCCCATGAATTAGGCTATTTTTGGTTTGGCCAAATTCCCCCAGATTAGAATGGGTGAAAGGGAGAAAAGAACTACTTGAATCAAAATTTCCAACTTTTCCTGCTTCTCTTTCCTTACCTTAGTCTTGATTCTTGGTGATACCCAGTGGCTTGAGCAACTCCTATACTTTTACTGACATAAACCAGCCCCAGCTTTTTTCTGCAGACCATCTTCAAACCCAGCATAAACAGGAACATAAGAGATGAACATACCTCCAGAAGATGGAGTGGAAGATAAAAGAAGGAGTGAAGTGGTGGAGGATATGTGTTTGCTATTGCACAGAGAGATGGGGAACCAACCAGCCACGAGGAATAGCATGAGGAATTGGAGCCAGCTCGGCAGGTTGCACACTGGCAATGCCTCAAGGACAAGAAACAAATGATCCACTGCTGTGTTTGTAATAGGATGGAGGGTAAAGGATGGCAGGCAGGGAGAGACGGTCCCGTGGCTGGAAGGAGCAGGAGGGAGATGCTGGTGGAGATGTGAAAATCCACCCATTGGGTTAGGCTTTGGGGAAAACTATTCCTTCATTTTTTCCTGTCTGGTTTGCTGTCCTGATGGAGTAGCTGAGGTTCTGGGCATCCACAGAGCGGGATAGAAAGTAATGAGGGGAAAGGATGGATGGGAAAATGGGGCTAAAAACCCACGGAGCAGGGAGAGGCTGCTGAGCTGTGGGACACGAGGTTTCTTCTTAAAGTACCTTGGAGATTCCAAGGGAAAAGGAATGCTGAGAACACGAGAAGGGACAGAAGACATCAGATGGACATCAGATGGGACACAGCAGTTCGTGCATGGGGTGTCAGGGAACCTCAGTGTTACGGACCACAAGGGAAGCTATAGGGAGATGGGCAAAAAATAAGCAACACTACCTCAGGACCTGTACTAGTCATGACAGCTGTAACAGATGTATATCAAAAGCTCCCACAAACCCTGGAAATTTCATTAAGAAGTCCATAATCCCTGGACACATATGGAATTATGATACCCCTCATCCTTCCCTGTGTCAAAATCCTCCAAGCCTCAGCTACCTTAAGAAGTTGTTTATAATAGATCTGAGAGTTTACATCTTCTTAATGCTACCATATAGGGTGTTTGCAGCTGGATATATTTGACTGAAATAGTGCATTTTTTTATGGTGATCAGGCCTTGATTAAAAAAATATTTTTTGTGTCAGACACTTTCTGCCACTCTCTGCCATAAATCAGTTTGTCACATAGATGGTAATGAAATGAGGTTTTCATTCTCTTAAACACATCCAAGGGGCTTTTGCAGCATCGTTGCATCCATGCTCGCACGTTGGACTCAGTGGTCCTTGCCCTGATGGTCCTTGGAGGGCAGCACTGGAGGATGTAGGGGAAGGAGACAAGGACCGTCTCAAGCATCACTGGTGTCTTGAGGGTCATATCAATATCCTGGCACCAGGGCTGAGGACGGAGCCTGCACAAGCTGCTCACTGCAGACCTCATCAAGCAACCTAGATCTGAGCTAAATATTTAAGATGCTGATGTGTCCCATCCTGAGCAATAGCTCTGCAGGGCATAGGGCAGTACCTGTGGGTGTCTCTTGGTATTTTAATTAGAAAGAGCCTTTCCTCTTACTGCAATGACTGGCAGAATCCCACAGTGATGATGAAACCACTTGTCCTTTCAGCATAATATTCTCAGGACAGCTGCTTTGCAAAACAAAACCCTTTTTATAGTGAAATACCCTTATTTATTTAGAATTCCCTAGCTTGGGAACATGGGATGAGCTGGCTGTGCTGTGGGAACCGGGCCATCCATCTGCCACTCCTCACTTTCAGAGCTTCTCAAGTTTCAGGCTGGCATCTCTGATCCTAAGTCTACTTTAACCATTTTAATAGCACTAAATGGAGTCTCTGTTACTGCCTTTATCTGCTCTCTATGTCTTCCGGGTCATACATGCTTAGTTTACTGTCAGAGACAAGTTTTTACTGCTGTCAGCACTGCAGCGTGGCGGTACCTGCAGAGCAGCAGGCTGCGGGCTCTGCTCTGCCTTCTTCATTGTCAAGACAATTACCACCCGCAATCTGATTCCCGAACATTTGTCTTGTGTTTCTTAATTGGTGCCATCAAGGAAATGCTGGAGGGGAAAAAATAACCCTACACAGTGCAAAAGCGAAGGGGATGTTTCTATGCTGTTTATAACCCTTTGGTGCAATGGCAATAGTAATTAATATAACTAATAATTAGAATTGCCTGCATCACGTTAAGGATGTGATTTCCTTTGTGCACAGTCAAATCTGAACTCATTTTCCTTTGGTCACCAGAGTAAAAAAGCCTGAGAGGAAAATAAGCCTACAACCAAGGGAAATGCATTTAACTGGGGACAGTCAGGGGCTGCAGTGACCCCCCCCCCCCCCGACTTGCTGCAGATCTGCCTCCAACACATACTTGGTTTCCATGCAGGATGCTGGGGATGTTCATGCCCACTCCATCCACGTTTACCCCCCTGGGAAACCTGGTCGGCTGTCTTTAAAATCCTACCAAGCAGAACAATGCAGGTGGAGATGAGAAAAGATGCACACATGGCTTCGTTTTCACCCCCCTTCCCTCTCAGCCCCGCAGGCTGGATCTGCAGTTTCAGCCGCTCAAGAAAATCTTTGTCAAATTAATAGATTGAAAAGTAGAAAACACCAGCTGAGGGGCCAGGCACGCTTCTGAGATCACCCGCTCGGGTTCTGCACCGGCGGCACTGATGGAATTACTTTTGCTTTACACCAGCATAAATAAAAGCAAGATCAGGGGCACTATCTGGAAGATAAGGATGAAGTTTTACAGCCTTCCTTTCCCTTATCACACCAGGACTTTTGAATACTTTGGGAGTCTAATGAGGAAGGTTGTGCCGGTGCCTGGCTCTCTGGGTTTGGAAGCAGTTCTTGTCCCTCCTGCATGTGGGCTCTCATCCCCTTTTCCTCTAGAAATTCAGAACGTGAGCTGGATAAATGACCAGCTGTTTATGAACAAATGATTTATTAAATCCTGTTTGGCTAAAGTAATTCCTGCCAGCGTGAAGGTGCAACAAATGGAAGATGAATAATCTCCCCTGCAATTCGCAGGGACCGCACTCCCCATGTGCTCTGTTACTATATTTAGCACACAAACAGTAAATGCATTCCCACATAGAAGCCACTCTCCCCAAAGATCAGAGCACCCAGAGCACTTTGGTGGCCATGGGTGCGTTACTGGGGTTGCAGGATGCTCGTGGTGGGCGCAGTTACCGTAAGCTGAAACCCGGGGTGCAGCGTTGGAGCCCATGAGTTGGGATAAATCCAGTGTGACAGCTGTGACTTACCCAAACGGTCACTCCAGCTTTGGAGTTATCTGGTTACAAGCACGTTGCTCCTGCTTCATCCGACGCTGGGCCTTAATATAACTTTTAAATCACTGCAAAATGAACTTTGCATTTTATTCCCGTGGACCGTGAAAAAATGCCGTTGCTGTATCGTGCCCTGGGATAGGGACACAGACAGCTGTTTATATCATTTCCAACAAAACACCCTGCAAAACATAAAGTAAGCTGGGAAATCAATAATTATTATTACAGTCTCTCCTGGTCTCTGGTGTGTGGGGCACTGTAAAGCCCCTGCTCCGTGCATTTGCAGCCATGCTACCAGCAATGTGGTGTGGGAAGGAAAGGATGCAACAGGGAAACTGAGGCAGAGAACTATTTCTAAAGAGACATTTGTGACACAGCAAAAAATCCCTATCCTCGCTACCCAAGTCCTCTGGCCCAGAATGAGGGTGTCCCAGCCTGATGGGAGCATCTCCACTGCACTGCAAGAGGCACAAGGTCACTGCAAATGATGATCTGGGGAATGTTTCTGGCAGTGATATAAACCTATTTAGTTGATGCAACTGTGCCCTGAACTGTTTTAGGGCTTTTGGGCTGTATTCCACCCGATCTGAATGCCCTGCCAGAGCATTCTCCTCCCCAAGAGCTCCTGCCCTCCATCCATCCTCAGTACCCACAGGGCACAAGAAAGTGAGTGGGGCCTCATGGTCCTTCTCACAGCATGCCTATCCTTCGGGGGGCGTGAAGCCCCACAGCAGAAGCTTGGGCTGGTTTCATCCAAGTGGGGTTGCTGTGTCATACTGGTACAAAACATATCAAAAGATGGACAACAGATCCCATTGACAGGCAGGAGAGAAAGGAGACACGGACAGCAATGTCCCTAGGACAGCAGTTGGCGCATCTCTGACTGCACTAATGCTTATCACGCTCTAAAAACACTGATCTATGGATCTCACTCCACCACCCAAGCACATTTTGGGTAAAAGAAACCACTGGAGTGCAATCCCAAGGGAATTCCAAAGCTTGTGGCACTTGCACATCATTTTACATCAATCTTCTTTATTCTGAGGGCAACAGGAAAAAGCCCACTGCTGTTTTCCTTGTCTGACCAGCACCAATGTCCTCACCACAGGGGTGGGCTCAGGAAGGAGATGAACTCAATGGTGGAGTCCTCGTCTTCTTCCTCTGCATCCATGGTGCATAACGGAGCAAGGCATCGCGATGGGTTGGGTGTATGAACCACCCCTATGCCTGGCTTCACTTTTAGTGCGTGCACAGAAGGCAGATAATGGCGATTGATGTGCTTTTTCCTTCAGGTTTAGGTTTCCTGTCAGCTGAGCCACAGATAACCCATAAACACGGAGAACAAACAAACAATTAGCGTCCCTCGGACCCAGGCGCAGAGGCACTCTGCTCAGGTTTATAGCCATTTTCCAGCTTTACTGCCAAGATAAATCTTTCAGCACCCGCTGCCCAATCAACCCCAACAGAAAAGAATATTTGGTTGGTTTTGGTTTGGGTGGTGTTTTTTTCTTTTTACAGTAGATATTTGATTCTTTTTATATTTAGGAAACATTAAAAGAAGGGTGCAGAGAGGTGGGGACCAACATGTAAATTATATATTGATCTGGAGGATGTGCTGGCTTAATTCTTCCTGGGGTGGGATCAGATCGAAGGCAGAACAACCTCTGCTTCCTCTGAACTGTGGTTTCCACCACTGCTGAACTTCCATGC